CTCCCCGGAGGTGTTCGCTGCTCCAGCCCCCTGCTGCGGTGACAATGAGAGCAGGTCCGTCGCTGTCACAGCTCCCGTCGCCGTTCGGATCCTTTTCAGAGCTGGGAAATACCGGATCAACCGCCCCGGGGGCCCGGTGGGGCGGCGGTGCCGCCTCCGCGGAGCCGGGATCCCTCAGTCGTAGACAGCCGGCAAATTCAGGGTCATCGTGCGCTGAAAGCTCGGCCAGGGAGGGAATTGGCGGCTTAATCTGGCTTCAGAGCTGTGTGGGGACATTTGCGTAACTGATGCTTCGAAACGGTGTGAATATCAATATTTATGGCATTAAAAAGAGAGTTTAGGGAAGATTAATTGTCGTATGAGCTGTTGGAAGCACTAACGCCTTGCTAGCTGCCTGTCCTTGACTTGGATGTGGGGTCTGTGATAAGGTGGTGGCCCGGAGGAGAGCTGACAGCACGTGACACTTCCTCCACCCTCTTCATAGAATCCTTTGGTTGGAAAAAACCTCTGAGATCATCAAGTCCAACCACTGCTAAACCAGATCTCTGAGCACCCCATCTACCTGTCTTTTAAATCCCTCCAGGATGGTGACTCCACCACCTCCCTAGGTAGCCCGTTCCACTGCTGAGAACCCTTTCAGAGAAGAAATTTTCCCTGACATCCAATCTGCACCTCCTGTGGTGCAACTTGAGGCCATTTCCTCTTGTTCTGTCACTAGTGACTTGGGAGAAGAGACACACCCGCCTCACTACACCCTCCTTTCGGGGAGTTGTCGACAGTGATAAGGTCTCCCCTCAGCTTCCTTTTCTCTTTCTTTCAGAAAGTGGTGCAGGAAGAGCTGGACGCCCTCCTGGAACAGCAGAGCACTATAGAGAACAAGATGGTTGCACTTCATCGCATGGGGTTAGTGATCCCCACCCTCTCCCTTTCTTTCTGCTTCTGCGCACTGTTTGGTGCCCCCCTGCTTGCTTCATTATGTGAAAATTCATCGCAGTCTTGTGAGAGAAACATGTTTGTTCTCAGAAAATGTCAGACTTTAACTCAGTTTTTGGCAGGGAGCAGTAGCTGGATCCTCATCCCCAGGTGCCTGGTTCTTCTCAGCAGCACTAACAGAGGGAATTGCTTGCACCCTCGCAGTGACTGACCCATTTTGGTGCAAGCTGAGCAATTCTTTGAAGGTCTCACCCCAGATACTGTCAGCTTCCAGCATCAATGCTTGGGTCAGATGTCTTTGGCTGTTTACAGCTGTGGACACGTCACTGCCATTTCCAGCTTGTGCAGGCAGTCTGGAAAATCATCCTAAGTGGCTTCATGTCTAGAAGCTTGGAGCACAAGTTCACAGACTTGGTCTTCCATTTCAGAAGTGGAGAGTATCTTAAAAGCCTCAGTAGCTCATTCACACCCTGTCTAGTAGTGAGGCAGTCGTTATTCTGGCTGTGCAGCCTCTTCCAAAGCAGCCTGATTGATTTGGAGGCTTTGCCCCTGTACGAGGGGCATGAAATGAGAGACACTGTCACTGACAGGAGCATTTGGGCTTGGAGGAAGAACCATCCTGCTGTTGCAGACCATCCAACTACTTCATATTTACATCTCATGCCCAATTCTCTTGTGTTTCCAGCCCTAATTTGCAGCTCATCGAGGGGGATGCCCAGCAGTTGGCGGGGATGATCACCTTCACCTGTAACCTGGCCGAGAACGTCAGCAGTAAAGTCCGCCAGCTTGACCTTGCCAAGGTAACTGGGACCGAGGGGGTGTTTGGGACTTGTCACCACAAAGCCATGTTCTATCTGCTCTTGTGCTCACAGCACGATAGAAAAATGTGCTTTTCAGTGGGCAGTTGGGCTGGGAACTGCTTTGTTCTTTGTTTTAGCATTTTCTAGTGTTGTTGGGTAACGGTATCTTGTTGGGCTCCTGGATATTGCAGGGTATGAGAGTAAATCAAGCAAATGATTTTCCATATAGTGGCTGATTCTCTGGCATCCCCTTCTGTCCATGTAGCTCTTGGTAGAATATGGTGAATAAGCTGAGATTAGTCTTTGTTAGCACTCTTCTATCAACTCTTGCAGCACTGAGGACAGTGGAGATGGTTGTTGTCACCCAAGAGTGGTCAGGAATCCAGGCTGTCATATTCTTTGTACAGAGGCAGGCTGAGGGGTGTCAAGTTCCGGGGAGATCTTATAGCAGCTTTCCAATACCTGAAGGGCCTACAAGAAAGCTGGGGAAGGACTTTTCATAAGGGCAGTTAATGACAAAACAAGGGGAAATGGGTTTAAACTGAAAGAGGGGAGGTTTAGATTGGATATCAGGAAGAAATTCTTTGGTGTGAGGGTGGTGAGACACTGGAACAGGTTGGCCAGAGAAGCTGTGGCTGCTCCTCCCTGGAAGTGTTGAAGGCCAGGTTGGATGAGGCTTTGAGCAACCTGGTCTAGTGGAAGGTGTCCCTGCTGATGGCAGGGGGGTTGGAACTGGATGATCTTTAAGGTCCCTTCCAACCCAAACCAGCCTGTGATTCTATGATTCTGAGTCCCAGCGCTAGCACAACAGCTCAAATCAAAACAGATAACGTGTGGTTGTGTCTCTGGTCTCTGTTTGTTGAAGTGGAACATTGCCTCTGAGTCCAATCTGAGTCTCACCTGGTAAATGCTGTTCAACTTTCAGAGCCATTGGTCTTACAACTTATTAAGTAGTTTGGGGTTTCTGCTTATGGAGTTGTTTACTGTGTAGAGAAGTATCACTTCAGTCTCTTTCTTCCTTTCCCCCCT